GGGACCGCCGGCACAGCTCTGCCTCCGGCTCAGCGCGTCTGGCACCCTGCCCCTCCAAAACCTCCTCGGCCAGGGCAGCAACCCTCTTGCACCTTCCGTGATGCAAGGGCAGAAGAGCTTGGATGCATAACGTGCCCCAACAGCCAGACCCCATCCCGGGGCATGCGAGACCTCAACAGACCCAATTTCTTCATCCCCTTTTCCCTTCACTAAGCCATGCAGGAGCCAGTTCGGTGGCCCTCCTCCTTCGGTACCCAAGAACATGCTCATTTCCACCATTACCCGCTCCACTGCCTGAAAGCCCTTTCCCCACCAGTGACAGCCCCATCCATCAGCCCCCGCTTACCAGCAAGGATTTGGAAGACTCCAGTAACGTAAAACCGCCCGCCCTTGGTGAGCGTGAACAGCTGGCAAAAGAACAGGAACAGGGACAAGACGCTGAAGATGATGGAGAGGATCATCATTGCTTGGACAGACTGCAGCCATTCTGGGGAAACAAAGACAGACGGAAACCTCAGTGTGGGCACCATGGATGGCGAGTCCCCACCACAGCTCGTGGCCTCAGCCTCATCCCCTGCACCACCAGCTCAACCCCAGTTCCCATGAAGTGTCTTAACAGCTGGGGGATGCCCTTACCAGCTGCTGAGGTCCTCAGCACGGGCACGGTGCTGCCGGGGGGTTTTGGATGACATGTGCATGGACCAGCGTGCCTGGGAAAAAGGAACTGCAGGGCCGCGCGCTTTCCCAGGTTGTATGTGTAATAAAATACGAGCAGAGATATCAGCCCCAACCTGAAGCCTGCAGAAGTCAAGACAAAGCCTCTCCCCCAGCTTCATGTCAGGCGCTGGGAGTTCAGCTGTACTAGAAACACAAAAGCCATGTCCCACAAGCTATGAGACACTGAGCCTGCCAAACTCAGAGGTAAAATAAATACACAGCAAGTTAAAACACCCTCTGCCCTTGTGGAGTCAAACCTTTTGGAAAGAGCCTTCCCCAGCTGCCAAACGCAGATGCCTCCCAGAGCAGACCAGTTAAACCAGCCCCTGCATGAGTCACTGCCCAGCTATTTCCAGGCTTCGCGGGTGTGTAACTCCCCGCGTAAAAAAAAATAAAAATAAACAAGCAAAATGACGCTCCGTTCCAAAAGCTGCCGCAGCTTGACAGAAAGAGGCAGTGCCTCACACCACCGGGACGGGGCCGTGCTCACAGATACCACTGCCCTTCTTTATAAAGTTTGAGATCAAAATGAGTATTTGCAGCCTTCCTTGAGAAGTCTGTAAGGACGCGCCATCAATTAATTCACCATGAAAGTCAGGCAGGTCTCGTTACAGGTAAACTGAGGCACAAACCATCCAGGAAATGGCAGAAAAATGATGCTTTGGGCTGGATCCTCAGACAGGGGGGAATTGGGCAGCACTGAAGTCTTAGACCCAGTCCCATGTTCCTGCCATAGTTTTACTCCCATCAGCTTCGCTCCCCGGCTGCACACCGCAAGCAATGGCTTTCTCCAGCAAATAGCTGAAACGTAACAAAACTTCCAAATAAAACTATACTTCAGCTCAGCAACCTTCAACACTCAGTGCAGCAAATGAGGCCATTTGGGACGGGCCGGAGGAGCGTCTGCTCCCAGAGAAGCGATCGCGCTTCCCCACCAACTCCTCGCAAGCTGCACTCATGCACGTAAGAGCCGAATTTGAACCGGAGAATGAGGTACAGCCTTCAGCTGGGACAGCAATGACGATCCACGCCTGAGCCCTTCCAGATAATCCATGCCTGCGGGGAACATCCTGCACAATTTAGTAACGTCTGGTGTGTTTGACTTTGGACCATCAATTCTACCTCTTGTCTTCGCGTCTTTGCCTCCTGAAGTTCACGCAAGGAGCCCTGCTCACCAAAGCAGACTGAAACCACCCAGAGAGGCCTCCGCTCATTGCAGACAGCTTTTTCCTTCCCCTCCTTTTCATGCTTCCCATGCCAAACTGCTCTGCAGCATTAACGGGCTCTGCTAAAGAGCTACTGTGCTTCACTCGCTTCAGTGCCGCCGGTTTTACATCCATGTGCACCAGTTGCTGCCGTTCCTTAGGAAGGAGCAGCTACCACTGCTGTTACTTCCAGGAAATCCCAGTGTGGCTTTCACACTGGTGTGCACACAAAATGTCCCATATATTTCATCTATCTCAGCTGGCCCAGCAGGGAAACCCCCCTGCCTCCACCACACCTGACCCTTCAGCTCTGGCCATGCTCAACCGCAGGGCAACGGAGGGGATGAAGCAGCTCAAGCGTTGCTAAAATTCAAGTCATAAAACATGGCTCAAAGTGGGTCAGAGAAGTATGGTTAGAGGATGTCCAGCTGCTGAATTGCCATCTCTTTCCACGCTTCAGCACTGAAAGGGCTCCTATCCCAGGTCTGAGCGGCTGAGCTTTCATCTCACCCCTTCCTGAGCCCTAAACCCAGGTCCAGCTCCAGGCACCGGCTGAGCCAAAACCTGCCCGGCCCCAAGCCCTGTAGTTTGGTCCAGGACCCAGGAAGCCAAGTCTTTTTGTGATTTCAAAGGCCAGGGGATCCGGCCCGGAGAGGAGCCCTTTCTGCTCGGAGGTGGATGCTCCAACTGCCAGTTATTTTAAGAAAAGGCTGTCTAGACGGAAAGCTGAGCTGAGCTAAGCTGCCCTTTTAATTGCATCCGCCTCCCCGTGCCTCTTTTTTTTGGTTCTGAATGTGAATGATTTATATGGGCTTTACAAAATCCCAGTGTGATAAAGAGCCATGTCAGAGGAATAGAAAGGCGGGCACTGAGAGAGGAGGGAGAGCCCACCATGGCCGGCGGGGTTTCGGCAGCCAGCCGTGCTGCTCTGCTGCAGCCAGAGAGCAGCAGACACACGAGCATGCGAACGTGGAAATCAAGGGCTGATCCCGCAGCCCAGAACTCTGGGCCTGCTGACGTCCAGCCCTTTGCTGGCTTTTAGTGGTCTCCTTGGTAAAAATGAGGGGCAAGATCCCCAGCTCGTGACTCAGAGACCCCCAAGTGCAAGCTGCTACGCTCCCATTAAATCCAAACCCAGCTGCCCACAGACCTCAGCTGTATTAAGGTAGCTAATTGCCTTTGATTCATTTGAAAACACCACTATAACTGCAGACAGGATTGCTACCTCCTCAACCCCATATGCTTTTAACTCCTTTACTATTAGTGCTGTGTCCTACCTATAGGCTTTTAAAAATAAAGTGAGTTTCCCGCAGGGAGGTCTGCGCCCCGTGAGTTGTACCACGGGGTTGTCAGCACTGTTTACTCCCAGGCTGTTATTTGTGGTTTCCCCTGGGCAGCGAGTGGGTTATTCCATTTTTCTCCGGCATCTCTTCAGCTCTGTGTTTATATCTTTGTTCTTCAGGAGGAGGAAGAAAAGGAAACAGGGTGGAAAGGACAGATAACACCCTGCACGCCACTTCCGGAGAGGACCCATCAGGAGCCTTTTTAGAGCCCTTTCAGGCAGTCAGAAACAAAGAAAGAAGTTTTTACAAAACAAATTTGAAAAATTCCCTAAGTTCTGTAAGCCCCGATGTGCTCACGCCACCACTTATAACGGCAGGGAAAAGACTTCACCCCTGGGATGCTAAAGACCACATTTCAGTGCCCTAAAATCTAACGTGAAAGTAAGAAACCCAGAGCAGAAATTGAAACCCAGAGCAGAAATTGCAGCTGACATCCCCCC